GGGGGGCTTCCGCCCCCCCAACCCCCCTATTGGTATTATTTTTTTGTTACTTTTTTCGTTAATAACTTTTTAACGAATAACGAGCGACGGCTAAAACCACCTGAAGGTTACTTGGAGTCATGCCCTTGACGACATATATAAAGGGCAAGATCATTGGAGCAGCCTCCCTTCATCGGTATATTTACCCTTAAAAACCTCTATAAGACGAAAATTTTTTTGTTCATTCTCTTCCATTCCACTGCGGAAAACCTCTATAAATCGAAATAAAACCTTAACTTGAATTATTAGTCAGATATTTAGATGTATTAAGCTCGGTCTATAATTGCGTATAAGCATAGTTGCAAATAGTTGTAGTCGTAAGAATATACCAATCACAATCGAATATAAGAAGAATATTTGACTGTAATTGGTCAGTTCTTACAACTACAATTACTTACAACTACGCTTACGTAATTGTAGACCGGACTTTGTTTTACCTCTGCAACTCGAATTTAAATTAAGTAGCTAGATCTCTCTAAGTCGAACTTCTATTGTCGCTGTCTTTATAATTCGAAGTTGTAGCTATGTGTAACTATAAATAATAGCCCGGTACTTTGTTTTATAATTGCATTTATTATTTGTATGCAATATGATTTATTGTCAAATATTGATTTTTTTTTCTTTAAAAGCCATATATTATAATTGGAAAATTATAAACTCTCGTACAAAGTAAATACCTCCGACAAAGTAAATACAAAGTAAATCGAATTTTCACATTTTAACCATCTTTTACACAAATTTCGATAAGTCGAAAACTTTATAGTTCGAAGGGTTTTTCTTTTCTCTTGAAATTTGAATTATCGAGATTCGACTGTATTTTAAAACTAAAAATTGGTATTTTTACATAACATTGATAAAATTTGGAGAAAAAATTGATATTGACGCTATACAACGTAGAATTACTAGAAACCATAAAAATTGTCATTTCTTTTTGCTTTTTCGACGCCATTTTTCTCAAAATTGTGACGTAACAGCTGAATTTGGATGGATTCATATTCAAGAAGCAAAAATACATTGGAAATGACTTTTTACATAAGTTATGTTGCAAAATGATGTTGGATTGCAAGGTTAATGCAATGTTTATAACTGCACGAGTACTGACTTAATTATTATTAATTATCTTTACTGCAACTAATATTGCCTTTTAGATTTATAATGGATATTCTGGATATATCACGCAGATAAATAAAATTTTATAGTTTTAAAGCCTAAAAAAAAATCGATTTTTTTCAATTTTTCCGCGGATTTTTTTGGTTTCTTTTCTAAGGGGTAGAAAAATTCAATGGAAAATTTCATACATATTCGTAAAACCTATCATATTTTACATTTGCAACACTTTGATATACATTTCAAAATATAAAAATTTTATAACAAGCATATATTTATTGCTGATAATGTTAAATACTAGAGAAATGAAAAGTAAATTACATAAGAATAAATAAAAAAAACAGAGTTAATGTATTTTTCAAATAAAACGTATGGCTCTTGACAATTATTAATAATCAAAACTTTTTAAAAATACTTAATATCAACTTAAATTAATCTTTACACTAGTTGTTAGGATTGCGTTTCTTAAAACAGTTTATTTAATAATAAATAGTCCTCACCTCAAGGAATATAGTATTCAAATGTAAACACAAAAATTAACTCATTATTAATTTCAGCGTTTATACGAGGTGTCTTATTTTAATAATGCTATAAAATACGAGAGTTATAACTTATAAGAGTTATAAGCTTATATCTAATTTAAATAGAAAAATAAAGTAAAAGGAAAGTTAGGCCAATAAACGAGCATACTTTTTGATTGTTTAAGTTAATATAAAAAATATTGTAATATATAAAAAATTGGTGGAACGTTTCGGTTTACTTAGCCATCATCAGCCATCATAAAAATTTACATTACAATTAAAATTGACAGTAACGGCGCAGATGTATTCTTATGTTTATCGTAGTTCTACAAACTTGACAATCATAAATCGTCATTTAATAATATAATGTCTAAATACCACGTGTACGTATCCGTGCGATAAGATAATCCGATGAGATAAATGACGGAACAAGAGATGGAAACATACACGTGGTATTTAGACATTATATTATGAAATGACGATTTATGATAGTCAAGTCTGTAGATTAAACTGCGATAAACATAACAATACATCTGCGCCGTTAATGTCAATTTTAATTGTAATGTAAATTTTTATGATGGCTGATGATGGCTAAGTAAGCCAAAACGTTCCCTCAATTTTTTATTTATTAAAATATTTTTTATATTAACTTAAACAACCAAAAAGTATGCTCGTTTATTGGGCTAACTCTTTGTTTACTTTATTGTTTTATATACGAGCGATATTTATTTTATAATCTTAAATAAAAAATTTATACATTTTAAGAAGCAAATTAGGACAAATCACTTACATTACTTTCTGAATTCTAATTCATATTTAATATGATGAAAAATATTAAAAAATAGATAGTATATCGTTTATATAGCAATTTTTTGCAAAAAAACCAATTTTTTGGAAAGAAACCGAAATTTTTCTGGTTAGCATATGAACCGTGTATACTGAACAAAAATAATTACTTTTTACTGCAGCTTGCGGTAATCACCATGGTTACAAAATAGATACTTCCTATTATAACGGTGATCAAGAAGGGATCTATTGTAATACTAATTCTGGTAATCATATCGACACTATAAGCTGCAATCACATATATCCCACTAAACTTCTGAAAAATAAAATATAAATTCAAAATCACAAATGGTTTCCACACTTCTGGTAAAAGGATTGTTCTCCGGATACTCTTCAGTTTGTTCCACACATTCCAAGTAAAAAATGATCTTAGTCCAATCTCTTTACTCGAGGAAGGGTCTGTTCGACAATTTTGAGATGTTTTGGCATTGCTTGTCAGCTGGATGTAATTTATCATACTGGCAAACTCTTCCTGGAACTCTACCGTCTCTTGATGTAAGCCTCGGATTTGAAGAAGAGCGATTCTAGCTTCCTCCTTTCGACCTTTCAAGAGTAACCACATAGGACTCTCACAAATAAACAATATATTGCACAAAAAAAGAGTTGCCGACGGTATGACAAAAAACGCTGCTATTAGCCTCCAATTGTCCTAAATTAATTTAAATATTATAAATAAAATCTCAATATAAATTAATATGTATTAATTACAGTAATCATCTTTAATTTTATCAATGTAAAGATAATTTTGTATATTTAAAATTTGATAAAATATTAACAATATAAGAAGACAATGGGAATCAGGCGCGTTTAATTATACGCAATTCAAAATTTAAAAACTATACTAATTATATTACTCTCACATATATTTCAAACATTTCCCATTGCCTTTTTATATTGTTAATTTTAATATCGGGAATCTTATATGAATTTATTATTTGATAAAATGTATGTATATACTCACGAAAAGTTACATAAACAATGTGATTATATCAAAATTTTTATTTTCTTATCAAAGATCTCTTAATTTACTTATTAATAAAAATTATTTAAAGCAACATATTCTTCTTACCTTTGCAACAAATCCTAAAAAATAAACGATTAGAACTCCGATGGAAGCCGCTGTACCTGGGGTAAGCGTAAGAACTTCTCTCCATGAAGATATAGAGATTTCTGCTAAATAAATTTCATTGACAGGTGAGCAAAGACCGAGAGCAATTCCTAAAAATGTTTAAAGTATTCCTAATTATTACGGATTCTCATTTATTTTGTTATTAAACAAATTGCTAATTGCAGAATAATCTTTTTTCCTTTTTACATAAATAAAAATGTATAAATAGTTAATATTTACTTGCACTTGCATTTAACGTGCTATTGATGTCAGTAATTTAATAAATAGGTAATTTGCAAGCGGAACAATATGCGAAAAAATAAGCAGTTATTAAATATATAACTCGTTTACATTTAAAAATGATGCTGTATAATAATAACTTATTTTTATTTTTATATATCGGATATATGTATATAAATGTTGTAGCCTTTTTGTATAATCAGTTTTTTGCAAAAAGACGTTATGTAAAAAGACGCCTTTTTGCATAACGCCTTCGAAAATGGTTTGGGTTAGGTTAGTTTGAAACGTGGTGGAGCCCCCCCTCCCCTCTTAGGGGACTCAACATACTACCTCTACGCATGTACTTTACAACGCAAAGCCAGTGATCCACATGGGTTTGCAATAAATGTTTGCAATAAATGACCTAACCCAAACCATATATTTCTTGGCGTTATCCAAAAAGGCTGATTATACAAAAAGGCTGCGACATATACATATATCCAACCGTGTGTTTTAACATAATATAAATAATCTAGAAATTGAGAGAAAGCCAATGAACGATTATAGCAAGATCTTGCTCGCTAATATTTCTGTGTGAATTTATTATATACATAGTCTAGTTCTACAAACTGCGCACCGTTATATACTTTCGGTCTCGACGAGTTCTTAATTGAACCAGAATAGTAACATCATCTTATTAAATACTGATGCTCACCGGCATCTAATAAATACGCAACATCGTTTTCAGAATCCAGAAAGCAATAAAAAATATCTTGTCACTTGTGTGATACAAAATAATAAAAAAAATATTTGTACACTAATGTAATTTAAGAAGAAATTTTTTGACAGGTATTCTTAAAATATAATTTTTCTATAATTATAATTAATAACTTATACAACTTACATAATTTCTTACTTATTCGAGATTAGTTAACTGCTTGTCTATTGGTCATTTATCAAAATTTGAATTTGCATCTCAATTTCTATATTTTCAAAACTATTCATTACAAATAATCTTTTTTTATACACATCAAAATTAGTAAAAAATATATTAGAGCATGGATCATTTAAACTAACAAAAATTTAATCTCAATTCAACAAATTTCTCACCTGTTAGCGCTCTACCAATGAAGAGCTGTAGCACATTATAACTACTTGCAATCAAGATCCATCCCAAAGAAAAGTTTACACTACATACTATCATGGTAAATCGTCTTCCATAGTTCAGCATAATAAGGCATAATATGCAACCGATGGCTGAAGTTAGAGGTATAATAGAAACTAGACAAAAATATTTTTCCCCAATATTATGTGCAAATAATTGCATTTTACAAAGAATATATCTTAATATTTTGTAAAAGTATTTTATCAATGTTTTGAATTATGTACACTTTTCGATTCATGACCATTTTTCCTTTGTAATTTTCTCTATTTTGTATGTATACAGAGACCGCCAAAAATTTGGGGCCACCTAAATAATTTCTGAACGGTTCAAGATATTAAATTGAAATTTATAGGGTTATAATAGCATAATGTAATCTATTATTTAACTTTGAAAACACTCACTTTAACTCTCCGAGGGAGGCGGGGGATTGAAAATCTTAAACAGCATGTGGGGTAGAGTCATCCGGGGTAAACGTGCGCAATTTTTAGTTGACGTTTGATTAATTACAAATGTGCAGACTTGAATAAAAAAAATATGATTCCTTGTATAGCCTATTTATTATACTTCTTTATAAAAATAACAATTTATATCCAACTTCTCTCATATTTTCACAAAATAAAAATTATCTTGAAGAGACGAATGCGCCCACTTGAACTGTACTTGCGGGTAAATTGCGCAGTACTGCGGGATAAATAAGCGCAATTGAAGTAAGTGAACAATCAACATTTTTTGAGAATTAACTTTAATATAGTATAGATTTCAGTTTTTCATACGTACAAAGATTTTGGTAGAGGTATTTACCAAATTTACATAAAATTGAAATTACGTTCAAAATTAAAATAAAAAATTATTGCTTACTGGTTTAAACATTTTTAATTAACTTGATGATTATGCTGATTATAGTTAGTACTGAGATTAGTTTACGCAGCTAAGTATACGCATGCGTACACTTGCCCACGTACACTTGCCCCAAGGCAATGTTTTTAAAAACTAAATCTTATAGTACTAACAATAGCCGACACAACCTCTAATATTGTAACGCAATATAAACTTACATTATAATACTATGTATAAAATATGTAATCACCTTTCTTCTTTAATTTGACGTAATACACTTTCCAGTAATTAAAAATCTATCTATGTACGTTACGTGCTGTTTTATAATTATGCGTTATTTATTTTATTATTACGCATGGATTTCCAGCTACTGTTTACTTTTTATTTGTATGCAAGTACCACTACCCGGCTAACAGTAACTAACTTCCACCTTCCCCTCCCATTGAGATATAGACAATTCGCACACTTACCCAATGCGCATGTTGACCCCGAATGACTCAATATGGCGTTTGAAAGGGCTTTTATTTCGACATGAGATCATTGAGATTACTACGATTTTTTTTGCAGAGTTATGCTTTTTGGTGTTATTTAGTGCTAGCGAGGCCGACGGCGAGGACATGAGGAAGATAAGGATTCGCGCATGTTTCTGAGTGGATGGAAGTCATGTAAAAAAGCGCACGCGCGCGCGCGTGTGTGTATGTGTGTGTGTGTGGTCAGTGAGTGAGCAAGTGAGTGAGTGAGTGAGTGAGTGAATGAGAGAGAGAGAGAGAGAGAGCGTGCGTGCGCGCGCGCGTGGTGCGTGCGTGTATGTGTGCGCGTGCGTGCGTGCGTGTGTGTGTGTGTGCGTGTGCGTGCGTGCGTGCGTGCGTGCGTGTGTGTGTGTGTGTGTGTGTGTGTGAGTGTGTGTGTGTGGGCGCGTGTGTGTGTGCGTGTGAGGAACATGCGCGAAGCCATATCTTCATCGTCGTGGGCCTCACTAGTGCTAAATAACACTACGTTCAAATGAGCATAACTCTTCGAATAAAAATTGTAGAGACCTGAACGAACTCGCGTTCTTCTCGTCTTAAAAACGAGCTCTCACTCGATCCCACATGCCATTTAATTAAAAGATTTTCGATCTCCCTTTCCTCTTCCCCTCGAAGAATATTAAAGTGGATGTTTTCAAAGTTAAATGATCTTTTACATTATATTATGCCATTATAATCATGTATATTTCAATCCAATATCTTGAACCGTTCAGAAATTATTTAGGTGGTTCTAAACTTTTGGCGGTCTCTATATATGAATATAAAGTGCAACATAGTAATAGAAGCATGTAATGTAATTAATAACTGATTATTTAAAGGTATTTAAAGGTAATTGATAATTGATTATTGTTGCCAGTAATTGACAATTGTATTGAAAGTCGTAAATATTAACAAAAATTAAATGGTAGTTTTGTTATTAATATTCATAAGCACTTATCTACTTGCAAATAATACTAAATGTTTTTATTAATAAATTTTAAAAACAGTTACCGAAAAATGGCATCTCCATTGCATTTAAAGTTATCGAGGATAAATTACTCGTTAATATTGGAAGTACTATGGAGGAATATCCAACACTGGCTCCTCCATTAATTAAAGCTAGGTTGCAAACAAGAGCGTAAAGAAACTGCGACAGATTATATACATAGAAATTAGATATTAAGTATTTATGTATAATATTATTACACCTTTTATTTTTATTGTATTAAAATAAAGAATATTCTATTTCTTATTTAAGATTTTAAAAGTCTAAATACAACATTTTGAAAATTCTTATAGATCTGATTTATAAAAATTTGATAATAAATCACATATTCACTATACATTATCTTTTTATTATTAAATATATTTAAATAATTAATTTGGTTACATACCAAACGAAGTACTTCTTTTCGCACATTCAATCGTTGACACATATTTGTATTAGTTATATTATCGCTACCTCTCGAAAATATGATAGAAAATTCAAAATATTTTTATCATCAGAAATATTACGTTGTCATTACTATCTGGAATTTGAACACTGTCTAATAATTTATTAAGTTATAATTCATGATGAGAACTCAGTTTAAACAAAGTAAAGTTCGAAATTGCATTTATGTCAAATTCAAAACCATCACTAACACATATTTAATTCAATTATTCCGAAATATTGATACAATTATTTATTATAACAATGTACACTTAAAATATGAAAATTTTATAAGTAATGACTAACGTATCTATTTTATTATGCAACTGTCAGCATTGCAGGTTATCTAATTAAAAGATTTCCTGAAAAGAGGGATTTTATTTTCGAGACTTGCTTCTTTGGTTGTAATAGCTGAACTGAGCCATTCTTTCACGCGTACATTTTGTATATACGCGGTTATATAACGACTTACTTTAAGTAAATAACTCTAAAGACCCCGATATGCACAATACTCATATTATTGCCATATACGTATGTATATCGTAAAAAGTTAAGTTATGCAATCAACTTTTTGCAAGGTCGATATAAATGGTATTATTACGGATAATTATGCGATAATGCATAAAGCTTGCTTTTTTTTATTGCTCAAAAATAATTTGTGGTGGAATTCCAAAATGCTATATAAACTTATTGTTAGTAAGGAAAGAAAGTACGAAACCTGTACGTAAATGAAGACCAGATCAAATTTTTATTGAATAACATAATATTGAATAACAGTTTAAAACGACGAATTATAAAAACTATTGCTTTCACATCTGACGATTTTGGACGATCGCCTATATTTATAAAAAAATTAAATTTTAAGATAAAAAATTATTTCATTTTTTATTTCCATTTTTTAGATACTTAAAGATACTTCAGTTTTAAATAAGTGTATAGAACGCTAAAAAGTGTTTAGTCTTAACAAATATAATGCATATGCAATAATATGCATATGAAACAAAAAATATATCCGTTTTAAGTAAACCTGTTAAGAATAATTAGTTTTTTAACTTAAATAGAGATCTTCCTCATGTCTTCGCAGTAGGCCTCGCTAGCACTAAATAACACCAATATTCAAAAAGCATAACTCTGCAAAAAAAATCGTAGCAATCCTTCGTTCATCTACTAGATAATACAACATACTAACGAAATCTTTTTATATTTTGATTTCAGATGATCCGTTCTCGAGTAATCTTGTCCACCGCTGAAAACTAGGCGCTCCAGGGCAACAGCTGCAGTTCCGCCATTTTTAAATATTTCTTAACAAAAAAAATTTGACATATACTCCAACACATGTACTAAATGATACCATTAATAGTTTTTAAATAAATTTTTATTTTGCTGTTGAAAAAAAATCGTGAAAATGTCGTCATCTTTCGCGCTGCAAGTGTATAAAACCCCTTAATCGTGGGTACACCCAATTACATTGTCGGTAAACTCATTGTTAATTACAATGTCCATCGCCGTCGTGTTTTGGCGGCAGCGGTACTCGTACGCGGACGTCGACAAATTGTCCCTAACGCGCACGCACTTGTAGCTTTCATCCGGGCATTTACATCTGCGCAAATCAAGTCAAGAAATCTATCAGGAATGAACGAAGAAATAAACAATTAAATAAACGAACAAGTAAAAAAACGATACATGTTCATTGCATGTGTGGAGAATGTCAACGTGACTCAAGACCTTCACAGGGAAAGCCCGGGCAAAGCGAATATTTTTTATTTTCATTTATCTATACTAGATAGCACTGAGTCTCTAGCAGTTGAAGGAACGTCCTTCCGGCAACGCTACAAAGGTGCGAAATAACATATGATTGCGCTCG